ACAATGCTGGCTGTTGTTTGAGGCCTCTATTCCTGACCACGTGAACCTCTCCATATGGGTTGTTTTGGCCTGCCTCAGATTATGGAGGTTGAGTTCTAAGGGCAAGTATCCCAAAAGAGCGAGCCAGGCAAGCCGTATCACAGTGTCACTGAACGTCAGTTACAGGAAAGCAGGGGAAATTGTTAATGAACAGTAACAAAGTTCTAGAAGACCATGTCAGAGAATACTGCTGTGGCTGTTTTTGAAAAATACAATCTGCCACTCTGGTAACCTGGTGGTCATGCCCTTTGCCGTTTTCTACTGTATCATCCCCTTGATTATGATTGGGGTCTGTGAGTTGCTTCACAGCAATAGAAAATGGCAAAGGTGGTGGAATGTAGCTGCTTGATAATATACACTCTGTAAGACTCTATCTTGCTAGCAAATTCACTCTAGGCTCTCCTTGGCTTAATGAAGTGCACATGTTGAGGAGACACATGGGGCAAGAAACTGCAGGAGGCTTCCAGGAGCTGAGGGAGGGCTCCAGCCAACAGACAGCAAGAAGCCAGAGCCCTCAGTTCCGCAGCCACAAGAAATAGATTGTTAACCGTTTGGGTGAGATCGAAAGTTGCTTCTTCCCTAGTTAAGCCTAGACAAAAACAGGCTACAGTTCAGTGATGTCTAAAGGTAATACTAAAAAAGACAGTGTCCTATCGGGTAAGATGCTCATCCTTTCTAAATTTCAGTTTCCTAATTTATAACGAGAATATTGTTATCAGTGGGGGTTCACAAAAAGTCCACTGTATTCTGATTGGGAGAACAGAGTGTATATTTATACTTGAATACTTGAAATGCACTTTATATGACATATTTTAAATACATATTTCAAAAATATTTTAAAATTGTTAATATTAAAAGTAACATTGTTTAAATTATTATCAAATAAGACCTCTCTGCCAGCAACAGAAAACAACCCAATTTAAAATGGCCAGAAGGTCGGGCAATGCCTGTAATACCAACACCTTTGCAGGCCAAGACAGGAGGATCTCTTGAGTTCAGGAGTTTGAGACCTGCCTGGGTAACATAGACCCCATCTCTACAAAACATTTTTAAAAACTAGCTGGGCAGGGCCGGGCGCGGTGGCTCAAGCCTGTAATCCTAGCACTTTGGGAGGCCGAGGCGGGTGGATCACGAGGTTAAGAGATCGAGACCATCCGGGTCAACATGGTAAAACCCCGTCTCTACTAAAGATACAAAAAAGTAGCTGGGCATGGTGGTGCGTGCCTGTAATCCCAGCTACTCGGGAGGCTGAGGCTGGAGAATTGCCTGAACCCAGGAGGCGGAGGTTGCGGTGAGCCGAGATCGCACCATTGCACTCCAGCCTGGGTAACAAGAGCGAAATTCCGTCTCAAAAAAAACTAGCTGGGCATGGAAGTGCATGCCTGCAGTCTCGGCTACTTGGGAGGCTATTCGGGAGCATCAGTTGATCCTCGGAAGTTGAAGCTTCAGTGAGCCATAATCATGCCACTGCACTTCAGCCTGGGTGACAGAGGAAGACTACCAAAAATGGGTTGGGGGCAGCAAAAATGGCCAAGTACTGTGGCTTACATTATAATGCCAGCACTTTGGGAGGCTGAGGCAGGAGGATTTCTTGAGCCCAGGAATTCAAGACCAACCTGGGCAACATGGTGAGACCCTTTTGCTACAAAAATTTTTAAAAATTAGCCAGGCATGGTGGCAGGTACCTTTAATCCCAGCTACTCAGAGGCTGAGATGGGATGATTGCTTGAGCCTAAAAGGATGAGGCTGCAGTGAGCTCTAATTGCGCCACTGCACTCCAGCCTGAGTGACAGAACTATACCCTGTCTCGAAGAAAACAAAAAAATGGCAAAAGATTTGAATAGATATTTCTCCAAAGAAGATACAGTTGGCCAGTAAGCATATGAAAAGAGCCTCAGCATCACTAATCATTAGGGACATACAAGTCAAAATCACAATGAAATACCACCTCACACCCATGAGGATGGTTACTATCAAATAAATTGAAAGTAACAATTGGTGAGCAGGTGGAGATATTAGAAGTCATATGTACTGTTGGTGGGAATGTAAGTAATGAAACTGCTGTGGAAAGCAATACGGAAGTTCCTCAAATGTTAAACATGGGATTACCATATGATCCAGCACTTCCACTTCTGTGTGTGTGTGTGTGTGTGCGCGCGCGTGCACGTGCGTGCACAAAATTAAGAGTAGGGTCTCAAAGAGATACTTGTACACCCTTGTTCATAACAGTATTGTTAGCAGCAGCCAAGATAGAAGCAACCCAAGTGCCCGTCAACAGATAAAGGGATAAAATGTGGAATGCATACGGTGAAACAGTAGTGATCTTGAAAAAGATATTCTGACCTAATACAAAGTGGATGAGGCTTTTTACAATTAATTTTATTTATTTATTTATTAAATTTTTTATTGCATTTTAGGTTTTGGGGTACATGTGCAGAACATGCAAAACAGTTGCATAGGTACACACATGGCAGTGTGTAATTATTTTATTTTTTTGAGATGGCATCTCATTCTGTCACCCAGGCTGGAGTGCAGTATGGTACAATGTCAGCTCACCTCAACCTCCACCTCCCAGGTTCAAGCGATTCTCCTGCCTCAGCCTCCCTGAGTAGCTGGGATTACAAACATATGCCAACACTCTAGGCTAATTTTTGTATTTTTAGTAGAGATGGGGTTTTGCCATGTTGGCCAGGCTGGTCTCGAACTCCTGACCTCAGATGATCTGCCCACCTTGGCCTCCCAAAGTGCTGGGATTACAGGTGTAAGCCACTGCGCCTGGCCAATATTTTTAATTTTTAATTTTTGTGGGTACATAGGTATATATATTTATGGAGTAAATGAGATGTTTTGACACAGGCTTGCAACATGAAATAATCACATGGAGAATGAGGCATTTATTCCTTCAAACATTTATCCTTTGTATTATGAACAATCCAATTACACTCTTAGTTAGTTTAAAATATACTTTACTGACTCTAGTCACCCTGTTGTACTGTCAAACAGTAAGTCTTATTCTAACTATGTTTTTGTACCCATGAATGCTCCCCACCTCCCCCTAGCCTCCCACCACCCTTCTCAGCCTCTGGTAACTATCCTTCTATTATCTATGTCCATGAGTTCAGTTGTTTTGATTTTTAGATCACATAAATAAATGAGAACGTGTGATGTTTGTCTTTCTGTTCCTGGTTTATTTCACTTAACATAATGATCTCTATTCCCATCCATGTTGTTGCAAATGACAGGCAGGATCTCATTCTTTATAGCTGTATAGTATTCCATTGTATATATGTACTACTTCTTGTTTGTTTTTTTTGTTTGTTTGTTTGTTTTGGGTTTTTTTGAGGTAGGGTCTCTGTCACTCAGGCTGGAGTGCAATGGCACAATCTTGGCTCACTGCAACCTCCATCTCCTGGGCTCAAGTGATCCTCCCACCTCAGTCCCCCAAGTAGCTGGGACCATAGGCATGTGCCACCACACCAGCTAATTTTTGTATTTTAGTAGAGACAGGGTTTTGCCATGTTGACCAGGCTAGTCTCAAACTCCTGAGCTCAAGCGATCTGCCTGCCTCGGCCATCCAAAATGCTGGGATTACAGGCATGAGCCACGGCGTCTGGCCTGTACTATGTTTTCTTTATCCATTCATCTGCTGATGGACATTTAAGTTGCTTCCAAATCTTAGCTATTATCAGCAGCGCTGCAACAAACAAGGGAGTGCAGATATCTTTCCTTTCTTTTGGGTATATAGCCAGCAGTGGGGCTGCTGCATTGGTAGCTCTATTTTTAGTTTTTTGAGGAACCTCCAAATAGTTCTCCATAGTGGTTATACTAATCTATATTCCCACCAACAGTGTACAGGGGTTCCCCTTTCTCCACAGTCTCTAAGCCATTTTAACTAAGGGATGAGACGATATCTCATTGTAGTTTTGATTTGCATTTCTCTGATGATCAGTGGTGAGCACCTTGTCATATGCCTGTTTGCCATTTGTATGTCTTTTGAAAAATGTTCAAGCTCTTTGCCCATTTTTTGATTATATTATTAGATTTTTTCCTGTGGAGTCATTTGAGATCCTTGTATGTTCTGGTTATTAATTCCTTATCAAATGGGTGCATATATTTTTTTGCATATATTTTCTCCCATTCTGTGAGTTGTCTCTTCACTTTGTTGATTGTTTCCATTGCTCTGCAGACAATTTTTAATTTGATGTGATTCAATTTGTCCATTTTTGCTTTGGTTGCCTGTGCTTGTGGGGTGTTGCTCAAGAAATTTTTGCCCACACTAATGTCCTGGAGATTTTTCCCAATGTTTTCTTGTAGTCGTTTCATAGTTTGAGGTCTTAGTTTTAAATGCTTAATCCATTTTGATTTGATTTTTGTATTTGGTGAGAGTTAGGGGTCTAGTTTCATTCTTGTGCATATGGAAATCCTGTTTTCCCAGCTCCATTTGTTGAAGAGACTGTCTTTTCCCCAGTGTATGTTTTTGGCACCATTGTTGAAGATGAGTTCACTTTTGAGTGCATGGACTTCTTTCTGGGTTCTCTATTTGGTTCCATTGGTCTGTGTCTGGTTTTATGTACCATGCTGTTTTGGTTACCATAGCTCCATAGTATAATTTGAAGTCAGATAATGTGATTCCTCCAGTTTTGTTCATTTTGCTTAGGATAGCTTTGGCTATGCTGGCTCTTTTGTGGTTCCATATAAATTTTAGTGGTTTTTTTTTTTTTTTCACTATTTCTTGAAGAATGTCACTGATATTTTAATGAAGATGAAATAGATGAACAGACATGCCAAATAAAATAAGCCAGTCACTTAAAGACAGATATTGTATGATTCCACACATATATGGATACATGAGAACATATATATGAATTTATGAGGTACTTAGAGTTGTCAGATTCATAGATAAAGTAGAATGGTGGTTGTCAGGGGTGGGGGAAATGGGGAGTTATTTAATTAGGTATAATTTTGCAAGATGAAAATGTTCAACAATAATGTGGTTGTACAACAGTGTGAAAGTACTTAACACTACTGATATGTACTCTTAAAAATGGTTAAGACTTCTGGGCATAGTCGCTTACACCTGTAATCCTTGTACTTTGGGAGGCCAAGGTGGGTGAATCCCTTGAGGCCAAGAGTTTAAGACTAGCCTGGGCAACATGGTGAAATCCTGTTCCTACTGAAAATACAAAACTTGGCCGGTTATGGTGGTGTGTGCTTGTAGTCCCAGCTACTCAAGAGGCTGAGGTCTGAGAATCACTTGAACGTGGGAGGCGGGTGGGTGCAGGGAGCCAAGATGGTGCCACTGTGCTCTATCCTGGGTGACTGAGGGAGACTGTCTCAAAAAAAACAACAAAAAAAACAAAAGTTAAGACACACGAGGCATGGTGGCTCATACCTGTAACCCCAGGACTTTGGGAGGCTGAGGCAAGAGGATTGCTTGAGCCCAGGAGTTGAAGACCAACCTGACAACAGAGCAAGACTCCTGTTTCTACCAATAAAAATTGTTTAGGCCAAGAGCGGTGGCTCACGCCTGTAATCCCAGAACTTTGGGAGGCCAAGCCAGGTGGATCATGTGAGGTCAGGAGTTTGAAACCAGCCTTACCATCGTGGTGAAACCTTATCTCTGTTAAATACAAAATATTAGCCAGACATGGTGACAGGTGCCTGTAATCCCAGCTGCTTGGGAGGCTGAGGCGGGAGAGTCACTTGAACCCGGGAGGTGGAGGTTGCAGTGAGCCGAGATCACGCCACTGCACTCCAGCCTAGGAAACAGAACAAAGTGAGACTCTACCTCAGAAAAATAAAAATAAAATAATAGTAGATTAACTGAGCATGTTGATGAGCACCTGTAGTCCCAGCTACTTGGGTGACTGAAGTGGGAGAATAGCTTGAGCCCTAGAGTTAGAGGCTTCAGTGAGCTATGATCCCACCACTGCACTTCAGCCTGGGTAACAGTCTCAAAAAGGAAAAAAATGGTTAGCATGGTAAATTTTATGTTGTGTATATTTTACTGCAGTTAAAAAAATAAAGACCTCCTGGTGCTTTGGCATTGGATCAAAAAGGCCTTGGATGTCTGTAAAATTCACGTTAGTATGTGCCTTGATTCACTATGATGCAGAATCGATTAGACTCTTCTGTGTTTTTTACTTTATCCCTTTTGATCATTGTAGCACCTCTTTGTCTATTTTATCCATATACATTGTTGCGTGAGTTGTTTGCTTTCTCTATCAATCTATCCACAAGATCTCTGAAGAGATCAGGTCCAAGCTTTGGCCCAGCACACACATTCTAGAAACGTCTTGCCAGAGAAACAGTCATTCTCCTCTCAGGGAAGGTTGTTCGAAGGCCAGCAGCAGGTGGGAAAATAGAAGGGAAACGTGGAAATCAAGTGTACATTAAGAATTGCCTTAGAGTAGACTTGCACACACAGCTGAAAAATGAAAATCAGACTTGATTGCCCGATGTAATTTTCTCTTTTCCCATTTATATGCATACTTAGGATAAACAGTTATTGAGACCACCTGTGCCCAACACACTATGCCAGCAGAAATTGTTGCCTTCAGTGAGCTCTTGTTAAAAAGCAGGTGTTTGAGAGCCTGACCATACTAAGAATTGGAAACCCGAAGAGAGACCGTGTTAAAAACTCAGGTTTTCAGCAGCCACTCGAGACCTCAAGACTGGGCTATTTATTCCTCAGGCAGCAGGAATTCTGCGTGGCTCTATAAACCATTACACATGGGGTGTTTGCTTGAGGGCACTAGGATGATGCCTGGTATTTGAATCAGAGCATACTTGCTGTGCCTCACACATAGCAGGGAGTTCATAGTGGATGAGCAGATCATGAATGGCTTGAGAAAAGCCATCGGATATTATCAGTTGAAGCCTCAGACACAAATCTTGATGTAGCATCCCATGTGAAAAACACCATGTGCCAAACCCTGTGACACAGACATGGGACTTTCCTAGCCTGCCAGGCACTAAGGAAGGGGACAACCCAGTGCGGCCAAGCCAGGAAGTCAATGAGAGGCAAACATAGCATGGTCTAGGATTTAAACAAACCTCTTAGTGATCTCCTTGGCTTAGACTCTAGAATGCAGGATAGTTCTTTGTCCTGCCTTAGGCTGGCAGCCTTGTCTTTCTGCTTGGCAGTTTGGGAACTCAGAGTTTTTTCTCTCACCTCTGGCAGCTCTCAGACTTCATGAATAATGAGAAGGCAGGCAGGAACTGAATCAAGCTCAAGGCTGCTCTTGGGCAAATTCCTCAGGCCCTTGGTGTGGAATAAAGTGGGGGATTTACAAGGACAAGTAAAAGAGAAAATCAGCAGCACAGGCTTCTGATGAAACAGGTGGTCAAAATGCTCAGAGAATTACAATCCCCACAAAAACACAAAGTAGAACTTCCGGAATAGGTTTAATTATCTGTTTATTCATTAGACTTTTATTTCAGATTTCTACTTTACAGGCCCAGCCTGATAGGGGAGGAAGAGGGGAGCTCAGGAAGTTCCTGCACTGGAGGAGCTAAGTAAACGCCAGACCTGTGATGGGCACGTGCTTTGCTTACATGGTCTGATTCTCACAACCATCCTAGAAAAGAGCTTTTACTCTCCCAGTTTCATAAATTGTGGAACAGATGGTTGGAGAGGATGAATATCTTGCTCAAGGTCAAAGAGCTAATAACCGGGTATTCCCTAGAACACGAAGGGGTCAGGATGCAACGCCTCCAGGGCACTTGAGCTCTCCTTCCCACTCTCCACTTGTCATTTCATCTGTCTGTCGGCTTCATCCTTCCTGACTGCCAGCAGGTTTTCTTCAAGTGTTAGGCTACAGTTATGTGGAGTGTCCTGAGGTCATACAGGAACTGACCCTGCCCTACAAGCTCGGAATTCCAGGGAAGGCCTCACCCTGGCCTGCCCTCATGTACACACCTGTGGGGAGGGGAGAACTGGTTACTGTGACTTACAGGCCCATCAGAACCCCACAGATTGGGGAAGCAGTCATTCCCCAAAGAAATGGATTTGGGGAGTTGTTATAACACAAGGAAACACAGGAACTTTTATAGGACAGAATGGCAAAGTGGGGTTAAGTCTGGTAGGTTACTTGCTGCCAGTGCTTATCTCTGTTGTCTCAAAGGGGACAGCCATTTATATAGGTCTCAGGCAGCTGCAGAAAAGGGGAGTCTAAGCCACTCTGCTAGACTTAACAGGGACCGTCTTCCTGGCTGTCACCTGACTGGAGGGGAGAATGCCTGCAGCCTCAAATCTTTTGCTCACAGGAGCCCAGACCCAACACTGTTCTGTGCCCTGGAAACTTAGGAAGATGTTTTATTATTTAAATCAAATAATGTAGGGTAGACTGGGTTCAGAATGAGAGGCTTCAAACATTTTTTACTTTGAAAATAAGTACTAAAAATAGGCAGTTACCAAAATGCCAGTAACAATCTAGCATTAGTACCTGCCCCAAGGTCCAGACCATAGTGGCCACCTTGTGGGCTTTGGGGAGGTCCAAGGCCAGAAGCTCATTCAATGTCTGCTCCAAGTAGTGAGTGTGTCCACCCGGGCCCTGGCAAGACCACAAACCTACCTGTCCCTGTCCTGTGCTTCCAGGAACACAAAGAGCTCTTTGGCCTCATCTTGTCTACTTCTTTGATCCTCAAGGAAGCCATGAGCTCAAATAGAATTTAAATGTAAACTGTCTATTTGTGGTAATGATAGAAAAATAACTATTTTTAAAGCTTGTTAGCTCTTTAGCATGTTGAAGCTCTAGGGTTTCAGAGAAATGAACTTGACAAGCAGGAGTTAAATGAAGCCCAAGGTCAAGTTTCTCCTTACATTTTGTACTTGTACAGTCTCAGTGCTGAGTAGCAACTTGATCTCTAGTGTCCTAAGAGATTTAATGGATTACACATGAGAGCTCATTTGGCGTTTGGGTTTATTATATGTGTGTATAAATGCCTCAAACATGTTTCTCTCGTGGGAGTTGCAACCATCCATCCCTGCCCACTGGTTTTCACTTTCCTCTCTGGCTACAACCCACCACAAATAGTACATGTGTTAGTCTTTCTTGGTTTATTTTCTGAGCTTTTGGCATTAAAATAAACTGTGATAAAATACACTTAACAAAATGTACTTAACCTTTTTAAGTATACAGTTCAGTAGCATTAGGGACATTCACGTTTTGCAACCAATCTCCAAAACATTTTTATCTTGCAAAACTGACTCTATACCCACTAAACAGCTCCCCAGTCCCCACTGCTCCTCTCCCTTGGCAACCATCATTCTCCTTTCCGTGTCTGTGAATATGACTTCTCTAAATACCTCATATAAATGGAATCATATTTGTCTTTTTGTGGCTTATTTCACTTGAAATACTGTCCTCAAGGTTTATCCATGTTGTAACACATGTCAAAATTTCCTTTCTTTTTAAAGCTGAGTATACATAAAGAAAATGTATGCACCACATTTTCTTTATCCATTTGTGTGTTAGGGCACTTGGGTTGCTTCCACTTCTTAATTATTGAGAATAATGCTTCTCTGAATGGGTGTACAGATATCTCTCTGAGACCCTGCTCTCAATTCTTCTGGTTATATACCCAGAAGTGGGATTGCGGATCATATGCTAGTACTATTTTTAATTCCTTGAGGAAACCACATTGTTTTCCGTAGTGGTTGCATCATTTTTACATTCCCACCGGTAGTGCACAAGGGTTCCAATTTCTCCACACCTCAACACCACCTACCATTTTGTTTTGTTTGTATAGTAACCATCCTCATGGGTGTAAGGTGGTATCTCATGATTTTGATTTGCATTTTCCGAATGATTAATGATGTTGAGCCTCTTTTCATTTGTTTATTTGCCAACTGTATATCTTCAAAGAAATGTCTATTCAAGTCCTTTGCCCATTTTTACATCAAATTTTCGTTGTTGTTGAGTTGTAGGAGTTATTTATCTTTTCTAACAGTAACTCCTCATCAGACATATGATTTGCAAATACATTTTCACATTCCATAGGTGTGGGGATCGCTCCTGCGAAGGCCCCTTGACAGGACATAGGTTACCTTTTCACTTGATTAATGGTGTTCTTTGATGCACAGAAGTTTTAAATTTTTTGGTGGTGCAGGAGGCCAAGGTGGGCAAATCAGTTGAGGTCAGGAGTTCAAGACCAGCCTGGTCAATGTGGTGAACTCCATCTCTACTAAAAAGACAAAAAATTAGCTGGGCATGGTGGCAGGCACCTGTAATCCCAGCTACTTGGGAGGCTGAGGCAGAAGAATTGCTTGAACCTGGGAGGCAGAGATGGCAGTGAGCCAAGATCACGCCACTACACTCCAGCCTGGGTGACAGAGGGAACTCTGTCTCAAGAACAAACAAACAAAAACCAACAAAAAATTAAGGTAGTCCAATTTCTATATTATTACTTTAGTTGCCAGTGTTTTTGGTATCATATCCAAGAAATCATTGCTAAATCCAATATCAAGAAGTTTTTCTGGGCTGGGCGCGTGGCTCACACCTGTAATCCCAGCACTTTGGGAGAGTGAGGCGAGTGGATCACGAGGTCAGGAGTTTGAGACCAGCCTGACCAACATGGTGAAACCTCATCTCTACTAAAAATACAAAAATTAGCTGGGCGTAGTGGCATGTGCCTGTAATCCAAGCTACTGAGGAGGCTAAGGCAGGAGAATTGCCTGAACCTGGGAGGCAGAGGTTGCAGTGAACCAAGATCATGCCACTGCACTCCAGCCTGGGCAGCAGAGTGAGACTTCATCTCAAAAAAAAAAAAAAAAGTTTTTCCCTCTCTGTTTTTTTCTAGGAGTTTTATAGTTTTAGGTCTTATGTTTCGGTCTTTAATCCACTTTAATTTTTATATTTGGTATAAGGTAAAAATTTGACTTTATTCTTTTCTATGTGAAGATCTAATTTACCCAGCACCATTTGTTGGGGTAAAGAAACAAAACTGTCCTTTCTCCATGGAGTGGTCCTTGCACCCTTGGCAAACATCATTTGACCACACATAGGAGGATTTATTTTTGGACTCTCTATTCTGTTAGTTTGTATGTTTGTCTTTATGCCAGTACCATACTGTTTTGATTACTGTAGATTTGTAATATGTTTTAAAATTAGAAAGGATGAAACTTACAACCTTTTTGTCTTCCAACATTTGTCTTTATCAAGATTATTTTCATTCTTCAGGATCCCTTGAATTTCTATATGAATTTTAGAATGGGTTAGTTTTTTTTCCTGCAAAAAAATGCCATTAGATTTTTAAAATATTTTTTATTTTTGTTTGTAGAGAGGGGGTCTCATTATGTTGCTGAGGCTGGTCTCAAACTCCTGGCCTCATATAATCCTCCCTCGGGCTCCCAAAGATCTGAGATTACAGGCATGAGCTCCCACACCCAGCCACCATTAGGATTTTGATAGCAATTGCATTAAGTCTGAGATTGCTTTGGGTAGTATCAGCAGTTAAACAACAGTAAGTCTTCCAATCCAAGAATGCAGTATGTCTTTTCATGTACAGATGTCATCATTAATTTCTTTCAGTAACATTCTGTAGTTTTCAATATATATGTCTTTTGCCTCCTTGGTTAAATTTACTCTTAAGGTTTTCTTTTTTTTTTTTTTTTCTGATCCTAATGCAAACAATTGTTTTCTTAATTTCCTTTTCAGGTTTTTATCATTATAGAAACACAACTGATTTTTTGCCTGTTGATTTTTGAACCTTGCAATCTTGCTGAATTTATTAGTTCTGACAGGTTTTTGTTGTTGTCAGAACTAATGGAATAATTAGGATTTTCTACATATAGGATCATGTTGTCTGTGAAGAGAGATCATTTTACACTTCTTTCCCAGTCTGGATGCCTTTTATTTCTTTTTCTTGACTAATTGCTCTGGCTAAGACCTTCAGTATTTTGTTCAGTAGAAAGTGTGAAAGTAGCTGGGCACGGTGGCTCAAGCCTGTTATCCCAGCACTTTGGGAGGCCAAGGCAGGTGGATCACGAGGTCAAGAGATCAAGATCATCCTGGTCAACATGGTGAAACCCCGTCTCTACTAAAAATACAAAAAATTAGCTGGGCATGGTGGTACGTGCCTGTAATCCCAGCTACTCAGGAGGCTGAGGCAGGAGAATTGCCTGAACCCAGGAGGCGGAGGTTGCGGTGAGCCGAGATCGCGCCATCGCACTCCAGCCTGAGTAACAAGAGTGAAACTCTGTCTCAAAAAAAAAAAGAAAGAAAGTGTGAAAGTACATAACCATGTCTTGTGTCTTGTTCCTGATCATGGAGGAAAAGCTCAGTCTTTCACCATTGAGTATGATGATGTCTGCTGTGAGCTTCTCATATATGGCATTTATTATAGTGAGGTAATTTTCTTCTCCTAGTTGCTTGAGTGTTTTTATTTGAAAGGGTGTTGAACTTTCTTAGATTTCTTTTTTTTTTGCATCACTTAAAATGATTATGTGGGTTTTTCTGTCATTCTATAAATGTGTCCTTATGTTGAATGATTTTTATATATCAAACCATTCTTGTATTTCAGGAATAAATCCCACTTGGCCATGGTGTATAATCCTTTTAATGTGCTGTTGAAATTGATTTACTAGCATTTTGTTGAGGATTTTGCATTGCTTTTTACTTGCTGCTTTTAAGATTTCTTTGTCTTCGCCTTTTGATCATAATGTTTCTCAGTGTGGGTCTCTTACTTATTAATTGAGCCTCTCATATTTATATTTCCATTTCATTCCTCAAAGCTGGGACATTTACAGACATTATATTTTTCAAATAAGCTATTTCTCCTTTCTTCTGTTTGAGACCCTCATAATGTATATATTGGTTAGCTTGATAGTGTCTCTTAAGTACCTTAGGAACTGTTCACTTTTCTTTATTCTTTTTGTTCCTGACTCAGTACTTTCAAATGTCCTGTCTTCAAGTTTGCTGATTCTCTTCTGCTTCATTGAGTTTGTGATTGAATCCTTCTAGAGAATTTTTCAATTCAACTATGACATTTTTCAGCTCTAAAATCTAGCTTTTAAAAATATTTCCCAGCCGAGTACAGTAGTTTACACCTGTAATCCCAGCACTTTGGGAGGTTGAGGCGGGCAGATCATAAGGTCAAGAGATTGAGACCATCCTGGCCAACATGGTGAAACCCTGTCTCTACTAAAAATACAAAAAAAAATTAGCTGGGTGTGGTGGTGTGTGCCTGTTGTCCCAGCTACTCGGGAGGCTAAGGCAGGAGAATTGCTTGAACCCAGGAGGTGGAGGTTGCTGTGAGTCAAGATTGCACCACTGCACTCCAGCCTGGTGACAGAGCAAGACTCTATCCCCGCCCAAAAAATTTTCCTGTTGGTAGTCTCATTTTGTTCATAAATTGTTTTCCTAATTTTATTTAGTTGTGTGTGTTCTATTTTAGCTTATGAGCATATTTAAGATACTTGTGTTTTCATTTTGTTTTGAGACAAAGTCTTGTTCTGTCGCCCAAGCTGGAGTGAATCGGTGCAATCTTGGCTCACTGCAACCTCTGCCTCCCAGGTTCAAGCGATTCTCATGCCTCAGCCTCCAGAGTAGCTGGGACTACAGGCATATGCCACCATGCCCAACTAATTTTTGTATTTTTAGTAGAGGCAGGGTTTCACCATGTTGGACAGGCTGGCCTCAATTCCTGGCCTCAAGTAATCCACCCACGTTGGCCTCCCAAAGTACTAAGATTACAGGCATGAACCACCACGCCCAGCCTGACAGTTACTTACATTCTTTGTCAAGTAAGTCAGAGGTCTGTGTTCTTTAGGATTGATTTCTGGAGATTTATTTTGTACCTTTGAATAGACTATGTTTCATTGTGTATACCTTGTGATCTTTTGTTGAGGTACGGTTATTTGAAGAAACACCCACCTCTTCCCGTCTTTACCAGATGGCTTTGTGCAGGAGAATACCTTCACTAATCACCCAGCTTAAAGCCTCAGGGTCTTCTTAAACCTTTTCTAGGGCTGTGTCTTCCCTGGGACCATGTGTTTATTTGTATTTATTTGTGTTTACTTGAATTGCACTTAGGTGTCACCTGCATTCCTCTTCCTGTAATCTATTGACCCAAAGCATCCATGCATCTGGGAGCTGCCTGCTATTATAGTGCACCAGAGCACTCCCCTTCTGCTTTGCAGCTTCTAACCATGTTCCTGTCAGTGCTCTGAGTCAGGAGAGACAGAAATTAGTCCCTTAAGCAGCCTTCAGATGAGCCAGAAAGTTACAAGCTCCACCTTTCCCTTTTCTCCCAAGGGAGAAACTGGGAATGAGGCAGTTTCCTTTGATAATGCCATGCTGCACCAGGGACAAGGTGGAGCAAGGGTGAGCAACATTCCATGAAATTTCCTACAACTTTGAGTGTGACTTGTTTAGAGTTTTTATGAGACATTTTGGTCTGAATATTGTTTATTCATTGTTTTCCCAGGGAAACAAGAGCCTGAAGCTTCCTAATTTGCCATCTTGCTGACGTCACTCCTCGAATCTCTCTTGTTTAAAACTTAATGTTGTTTCATATTGCTGATTAAAATTAGTAAGATAAAGAGAAGGAAATCCAAATAGCATAGTATGGCATGAAATTAAAAATAAAAGTCTCCTTATCCACTTCCCAAACCCCATTCCCACTTCCTAAGGATAACTACTTATAGCCATTTGTCTTTTGAAGTCTTCTGAGGGTTACTTCCTTTATTTTAAATAATGTAAGTATACCTTCATTTCTTGATTCACCAACTTTGAATTGTACAAATGATTTTATACACCAAAAGATGAGGCTTTTAGTAGACTTATCCTCCTTCTTCCAGTTTTTGTTATATTTTGACATCTAAGTATCTCACCTGTTAGAACTTCAAATGATATTTTAAACATACATGCATTGAGAGAGTTCATGAGTTTTGAATATATATATAAAGGAGATTGACACTCATATTCCCCTCCATTTCTTTAACCTGAAACCATCTTCTAAATTTTGTTTTCTAAAATTTACATTTTTTCTGACTATAGTATTTTATGCTTTCACTTAAGAAGGTAAATATATTTTTAATTCATTGTACAAACAAGATATGAGCTCTCAGTGAAATGCTGTATTTGTCTCTAAAGCCATCCCTCTAAAACGACATTTCCTTTCTTAAATTTTACAGAACATATTTACTGAGTGCCTCCTGCATGGCCCATCCTGTTCTAGGTACTTCGAGTATACTCATTAATTGCTCAAAATAATATTACATCTTTGGACTTTTTGGGTTTAGACAAACATATCTAGAATTGTCTTCCCTTTTTGTTTGTTGATGGTAAAATGTGTGATACAGATATTTGTCCCCAACCATAACTCATGTTGAATTGTAATCCCCAGTGGTGAAAGTGGGGTTCTGTGGGAGGTGTTTGGGTCATGGGGGTGGATCCCTCATGGCTTGGTGCTGTCATTGCAATAGTGAGTTCTTGTGAGATTTGGTCATTTAAAAGTGTGTGGCACCTGACCAGGCGTGGTGGCTCACGCCTGTAATCCCAGCACTTTGGGAGGCCCAGGCAGGCAGATCACCTGAGGTCAGGAGTTGGAGATTAGCCAGGCCAACATGGTAAAAACCTAGTCTCTACTAAAAATACAAAAGTTAGCCAGGTATGGTGGCGTGTGCCTGTAGTCCTAGCTACTTGGGAGGCTGAGGCAGGAGAATCCTTTGAACTCAGGAGGTGGAGGTTACAGTGAGCTGAGATGGTGCCACTGTACTCCAGCCTGGGCAACAGAGCAAGACTCTGTCTCAAAAAAAGAAAAAAAGGTGTGTGGCACCTCCCCCACTACTCTGTCTCTTGCTCATGCTCTGGCCATGTGACGCCCCGGAAGTTGAGCAGATGCTAGCATCATGCTTCCTATAAAGCCTGCAGAATTGTGAGGCAATTAAACCTCTTTTCTTTATACCCAGCATCGGGTTATTTCTTTAGAGCAATGCAAGAAGGTCTAACACAATGTGTTAACTATATTTCTGACATCTCAGCTTCAGTGTCACTGTCTCAGCATGGTGATATTTTAAACTACAATTCCTCCCCTACATCACCAGTTGTTTATCCAGATCACTTATAATTTTCTAATCTGTTGTATAATTCACGTATTTATTTGGCCTAATGTCTTTCTGCATCCCCATCACTAGACAAAAACTCTTGGAGGATTAAGAAATTTGTTCACTGCTGTGTCCTCAGTGTCTAAACAGTACTTGGCCACATAGTGCTCAATAAAAATGTTTTGAATGCATGTTATCTTCCTGCTATTGAATGGTATCCATTTAATCATGCTTCTTGTAAACAAAATCTCTCATTGTTTAATTTATGCCTTCTAGGTTGGCTTCAGACCTAGAAATCCTGAGATTTCTAATTTTATTACTAGATTTGTTCTCTATTCTTTCAGTGCTTTTGGGACCGGTGTGTGAAAAGTAAAGCCATTCATTGCTAATCATCTTTGTTTTGCCATCTTACTTCATTGAGAATACGGCTGTAGACTGAATTCTATTTCAAAATAAGTCTTCTGCAGAGTCTGAGGGGAGTGCTCCATTATATTTCAGACCACAGTATTGCTGCTGAGAAATCTGGTAATCTTCAAAAGTTGAAGGAATAATCAGAAAAATAGTATTTCCCAGAGCTGAATACACGAGTCTTCAGAACAAAATGTCCTTGAGGGCTGTGAAGTGAGAAAGTATAAATGTAAAAACAACTTTTTTGAAATTTAAAACACAAAAAATGAAGAGACTATTTAAAAAAAAATCTTTTTCCTTTGAAAATTTTCCTTGATTCTCTGTAAAACTCCCATTAATCACAGATGGGACCACCTGACCCTCCACTTCCTTTACCTTCTCATCCCTCATCACTCACTAGAATGAGTATTTCCTACCTTTTTTTTTTTTTTTTTCTGAGATGTAGTGTCGCTCTGTCACCCAGGCTGGAGTGCAGTGCCGTGATCTTGACTCACGTTGTATACAACCTCTGCCTCCTGGGTTCAAGTGATTCTCCTCCCTCAGCCTTCTGAGTAGCTGGGATTACAGGCATGCACAACCACGCCTGGATTTTTGTCTTTAGTAGAGAAAGCGTTTTACCATGTTGGTCAGGCTGGTCTGGAACTCCTGACTTCATGATCCACCTGCCTCGGCCTCCCAAAGTGCTGGCATTATAGGCATGAGCCACCAAGCCCGGCTGTTAAATTCTTTTTTAAAAGAGACAGACAGGGTTTTGCTACGTTGCCCAGGATGGACTCAACTCCTGGGCTCAAGTGATCCATCTGCCTCAGCCTCTAGAGTAGCTGGACTATAGGCATGTGTCCACATGCCCAGCTGATATTTTTCTAAAATGTCTATCTGACCACACTAGTTTCCTACAGGATTATCAGATTGAAAAAAGGGAAGAAGGGAGAAAGGACTACTTGTTTCTGTTTCTGGCTTTAGGAGTAGCAGATCCTTTTATGCTATTGGCCTAGATGGTCTGTGGCCTTAATTACATTGTGCAGATTGGATGTGGCTGCATTTACAGAGGGACAGTCCAGTCCAGTCACTTAGGTACACTTACACTGTACCTATCCAAGCAGCAAAAATCAGGTGAGCAAAACATACACTTGTGAAAAATGAGAATAGGACACAAGTGGACATTATGGACATTGGAAAGACTGAAAGTTACCCCATTTGGAATTTGCATGGTTTTACAAAAAGACAGAAGCAGAGTGATTTTTGCCTCCTTTGCAGAATTTCTGAAAAGAAAAACACTAGTTTTTGGAGAAACCCAAAAACAGCGGCCAAAATGTTCAGCAGAGGCTCTGGGGGGAAGGCATGTTGTCTAAGGAAAAGGACTCTGCCAGCTTACACATTTATTTGGAAGACACAGACTTAAAAAGGATTAATATATTTATGTAAAACTTAAAGCAATGGTAAGAAACCGGTAACTAGGTGAGGCTCTGAAGATTTTGAAAGAAGTGTCTTGCTTGCTGTTCCTTTAAGGTAGAAAAACAAAACATATTCATATGCTTAGGAATTCTTTCTGGGCCCCCAAGGCAGGTACTCAGCTGCATTTAACAGTCTAAACCTATTGAATCCAGGAGTTCTAGTGAGTTTTAACAGCTTTGATGAACTCCATAGCTCAGATTTACAAAATAGAAAATTTAGGGGTTAGAATGAAGCACTGCTTTACTTTTCTGCTAACATTATCTTCTAATGAGATGAAAAGCAGCTTTCTTCAATATCAAGATCACCATTCTTTGAGCACTTCCTTGTAAGGTCCCAGATCAAACACTTGATCTTATTCAGGAAGAAGTAACTTTTTTCTTTAGTAAATAAGATTTTTTTCTTCATCTAGGCATCAAAGGCAAGCCAGATAGAACATTAAGATGATGGGCATTAAAAGGATGAGGGTAGGGGTCAAAATGAGCCTTGAAGTTGCAGGTATCTACAAAAAAGTTTTTTTGTTCTTCCTGCATTGTTTTCAAAGATTCAGGCTCTTGCTCTGTAACTCAGGCTCAAGTGCAGAGGCCACATCATAGCTCAAGCTCACTGTAACCTTGAACTCCTAGGCTCAAGGAACCCTAGGGGAAAGTATTAAAGGCAAACCCTCACAGTCTGAGAAACATTATAAAAACCAAATGTTAAGGTGCCAAAACATAAAAAGTCAGATGAAGAGGAGTCATTTAATGGTTTCAGTTCTTACTGGACAATTCTGGACGGAGACAATAAATACAAGGTAAAATTTCAACTATGTCTTTTAAGTTTGTGAATAGTGTACTTTAAGCAGAGGGCACAGAATTTCCTTATCAATTTTGTATATTTTTGCATCTTCATAAATACCAGCAATTTCCACCAGACTATCTCTCTGACATTTTATAGACTTGTCTTTTTTTGTGATTATGTGCCCCTCCTTCATTGTTTTATGCATATCCTTTAAAAACACGAGCTCACAGTATAATTGCTCTTGGTCTACTTTAGTTGGAATGTCATAGGACTGTCTGAATTTTATTTTGCAAAGAACTTCAAGCCAATTTCCTTTTAGAGTCTTTGGACATGGGATAAGGACAAAAGTTACCAGAACTTTTGAAATACCCTTTCCCAATATTTATCTTGATGTTTTTTCTATTTTTAGAATTTGTGGCAATTCTCATGAGACCTAACTCATCTATTCTCAGTATTCGACCAGCAAAACACCTCACTTACCTGTGCACATGATCTAATGCAAGGAAGCATCTCTAATGGGTTTTATCTGGTGAGTATGCAGATACAGCTCTTGTCTTAAAACAGGGTTTAGTTGTGGCACTAACATTTTGGACCAAATCCATCTTTGCTATGGGGGCTGTCCTGAACATTACAGGATGTTTAGCAGCATCCCTAGTTTCCACTCCCCAGATCCTGAACCACCCCTTCCTCAAGCTGTGATAACCAAAACTGTCTCCTGACATTGCTCTACTGTCTCCATGAGGAGCAAAATCACCCCCTACGAGAACCAGTGTCAAAACCATTTTAGAGGCAAACTATAACTCCCCAAACTGTGATGGTGGAAACAATCTGTAACTTCCTAATACAGTAGCTGATCACTACATGATGCTACTAAGTACTTGAAATGTGGCTAAGTATGAGGAGAATTCTTAATTTTAATTTACTTAAGTCCTACATATACTATAAGGACAAGATGCTCCATCATGGAAAACGGTTTAGGTTATCTGATAATTTCATTAAAAAATCCTATGTGGTTGATAGGCAATAAAAACTGAGAGAAACAGAACATTAGTATATACATTTTTGAAATTTTGCCCACCTCATTTCTACTCATACCCCTGCTGAATGACATATAAACTTCATCCTACCTTATATTTAAAAACTTTTTTTTTTTTGAGACACCAGAGTCCTGTTGTGTTGCCTGGGCTGGAGGGCAGTGGCACAATCATGGCTCCCTGCAGCCTGGATCTCCTGGGCACTCTCTATCCTCCCACCTCAGCCTCCTGGGTAGCTGGGACTACAGTCACATGCCACCACACTTGGCATAAATGTTTGTGTATTTTTTTGTACAGAAAGAGTTTCACCATGTTGTCCAGGCTGGTCTCAAACTATCCACCCACCTCCACGTCCACCTCCAAAAGTGCTGGGATTACAGAGGTGAGCCACTGCACCTGGCATAAATGTTTTATTAGTCCTACTTCTATCCATTTAAATTTCATTCTGACTAGGCATTTGTTAAATTAAAGGGTGAATTGTGAAGTTAAAGATTACAATGACAGAAATTTAAATTCTCTTTTAAATTAAAAAGTTTTTAGTTGTTTTTTGTATGATAGGAGTCATAACTGAAAATATAAGAATGAAAAAAGATGCTCTAACTGAATTCTGGTAAATAATTCCTTGAAAGAAAAGAAAAACTGAAGAAATTTAAAGAAAAGACCAACCAGGATTGAAAGAAAACATTTATTGAATCAAAATCAATACTTTCTTTTTAATATCTACAAGCCAACACGGAACTCATTTTATTCAAGAATGAACACAATGTACAAAAAAAGTATGCTTATATTATAAAAATATGTCAATTTTATCTTCTGGGTGCTCAGCAGAAGTCATTTTAAACAAAATCAAGGCAAACTTGTTCTCTATAATGAGTCTGCTATAATTTAACAACAAAGTGAAAGCTAATGTAATCATAAAGTATTTTAAAGGCCCACTGATAATGCTGCACTGGAAATGCTAAACTCAGTATTAACTAAAGTCAACATTCCCGCTCTATGCTTACTGGCACCACTTCATGCCTACATTATGGGAAAAGTACCTATTTTATAGAATGCAGATCACTGCTAACAGAATCCATGTGATTCAATCTTCAGTTTCCCTTAACAGCAGTTGTTAGCATATATTTCAGCAAAGATTGATTAACAGTATAATGAATTTTGAGTAGTAAAATCCTATTTAATTAGCTTCAATTTAAAAATGAGATATGCTGCTATGGGGAACAGATGACTTTTCGAGGTTTACAACCCCATTTATGAACATGGGAAAGCTGCCTCCCTAAAAAAAGATTTATGTCCAAGGTTAATACCCTATCTTTTTTGGTAATTTTTCTTGTTTCTTGATTTTATTGGCACCTCCCAGGCACTTTGGCATGTGCTCCTGTAGGAAGTGTAGTTACTGTGCCTACAGAGTTAGTGGCAGCTACAGAGTAGTTACAGGCTGACGAGTCCACTTTTAGCTTACCATGGAGATCCGCTCCAATACACGCTGGTCATTGGAGCAACAGGAAAAATGGTGACTTGGAAAAACAATAAAATCATGAGTCGGGGAAAAGGATCATGACTTCCAGTATTGTTGTTCCAGGAGTTATATGACAAGTAGAAAAATTGTACTAATTTAAAAACTCAAAATAGAAGTAGACTAAATAGCATCAGTGCTAATAATGCCAAGAAAATCTAATGTCTTTTTTAAAGAGCTTGCACACAACAATGTCCCTGGCCAAGAAACTGACCCTGTCTGGCTGAGCAGAATGACAGTGGTACTCAGGCAAATTCTACAATGTGACATCCACACAGTTAATCAGTGACAATGGATGAATTCAACTTTAGAAGATAGGTATTAAACAAACTGCAAAATGTCTACTTTGAAGATGCAAATGTTTTTCCTTGGCAGATTCTGTGCTTGGGATTGACAGAAGGGCTCAAAATTGTAAAATACAAAGATCAAGTAATCTGGTGCCCCACTGTACTGGGTAAATGTACTGCTCGAAATTAAATTTTAAAAACAACTGGGGGAGAAATGCTCTTATGTTTTACCTACATAAACCTAATGTTTATTCAGTTGCCTGTTTTGCGAGAATCTGGGACTAAGAGGAATGAAGGCAGAAGATAAAGTGATCCCTGTTTCTTTATTCAAAGTTTTCTAAACTAAAAAAGTTTTTAATTACGCCTCATTTGTTACATGTAATGTTAATCCTACCAAATGTAGTTAGGTAAGCATGAATTAGACATAGGATTTAAACATTTCAGTGAGAACAGAAACCACTGACTCTGGCTTAACATCACATTCTAGAAAAGAAGAAACCTTTACAGAAATATTTGAAATATACAAAATTTGTGCAAGGACAAAACATATTTTAGAACCTGAGCAAAGGCTTCGTACAGGTTGTTTGTTTACACTGGCAATAATTCAGCCAGGTAGGTATGTTGCTCTTGGCAACTGATGTGGCCCCTAAAATATATAGCACACAGGCCAGTGACTCTGGAGGTCTACAGTTAGTTAGTTAGTAGTACAGGCCAGAAGTTCAACAAACTGCTACTGGAAACCATAATGTTAAAAACAAGTAAAAATAAAAGAATGAGTGCACAAAGAAACAAACAGCTAGTAAGATGAAGATGCTCAGGATCAGACTAGACGAGATTATGACCACAACACTCAGATATACCACACCTCCTTGCTCTCAAAATAAATATATCAAACATTTACAACAGAATGAATGCCTTATGAATGCAAGCTTTTCTTTTATTGCAATTCTAATCAAACAGACCAAAAGGTCATACTTCTAAATAAGCTACAAGTAATCATCTTTTCCATGAAAATGATGTGACTTGGTGCCACAGCTAAACTTTCTCTAATAGCAGCATCATCAGCCCATGGCAGCAAAGAAACGTTAATTTCTGGCATCCCATGGGCTCTTATCGAAGCAACTTCATAAAGCATGCAGATATCTATTCTGCTAAAGTTTCAAACAAATAAAAATGATCATTGTGCTTGTGGGTCTCATACCTTCCAAAATATACATAAATGATAGCAAATCAACAAAAAATAGCAGGTCCTTGCTTTCCAATAAAATCATAAGGCAGAGGATTGACAGTGAAAAGAAAAATGTTTAAAATGAAAACTGCAAAATGGTGTTAGCATTCACAAAAAAGATCATGCGAAGATCAGATCCATACTGATTAAACATTGAAAATTCAGCGACAATCCAAAGAACTCTGTCCATGAGTCCAAAGGCATGCATGCCGGCTGAAGGAAATGCGGGATTCATCTGACAGTATCTTCTTCAGAGCAGAACAGTAAGTAACACCTCACTGGAATAATCACGACAGGGTGAACAAGGTGCCATCACACTTCTTTTTTGTAATTCAAAATAAAAGAAACGCAATCACAGGACAAAAAAAATTACAGAATAGAGGACAGAGAAAATACAGAAATTCACAATGACCCTATAAAGCAAAAAAAACTTCAAATTATTTCTACACTTTCAGGGTTCATCCTTTTTCAAAGTAGTATTTTTAATTTTAAAAGTTTATAATGAAAGATTTAAAAATGAAGTGTTAACTATAAAATTACTCCTCATGAGATTCCCTATAGTATCAATACTTTTTTGAGACCGGGTCTTGCTCTGTCACCCACACTGGAGTCCAGTGGCGCAATCTCAGCTAACTGCAACCTCTGGCTCCTGGGTTCAAGCAATTCTCATGCCTCAGCCTCTTGAGTAGCTGGGATTACAGGCATGTGCCACCACACCTGGCTAATTTTTCTATTTTTAGTGGAGATGTTGGCCAGGCTGGTCTCAAATCCCTGGCCTCAGGTGGTCTATCCACCTTAGCCTCCCAAACTGCTGGAATTATAGGTGTGAGCCACCATGCCCAGCCTCAATATTTAAAATAATAATTTCACTCTTGTTTCAAGGACACATGAGAAGCATCTTGTCATCAGAATCTTCCCCAACCAGATGTTTTAAAGTATTTAAAATTATTAATAAGGAAAAGAACCTAAAACTTACATTCAAAGTGCAGGACCTACACTTAGCTGAGTAATTTTGCCTTTCCCAATAAGTTCACAATTAAAAAATAAAAATATGGGATATTATTTAAAAAAAAAAAAAAAAATATATATATATATATATATATAAAACTCCAAGACCTGACTAAGGCTGTCTGTGATGTCAGCTATTAATGGCTATGTCTGGCCTTCAGGTCCAGACCCCAGCTCCAAGTACTCACTGGAGAAAGGACCAGGGCTATCCCGCCTTCGTATCCACGAGCTGCATCTGCATCTGCACATTGGCAGGCATTCCACCTCCATAGCCTCCCTTGGACTGCATTTGGTTCTGAATGGAGCTAACCTAAAACAAGACAAAAACAACAAAATAAAATGGAAGTCAGGAACTAGGTCCAGCGCAACTAAGTAATTCTTTTCCCAGAATTTTATCTGGGCTGCTTTTTTCAGAAGGGTACTTTTATAGACTTAAACATTTTCTGGTTATAAGGACAAACAGGGAGGCTAGCAATTGAAACAATTTTTGCAGAAATCCTTATTTTCTCTATTTACAAATTACTAAAAGTCAGTTTTGTAATTTACAAGGTATTTGGTAACATTTGAAAAACAGTCAAAAGTATATAGATCAACTCCACTTTTTTTGTTTGTTTGTTCGAGATAGAGCCTTGCTCTGTTGCCCAGGCTGGAGTGCAGTGGCACAATCTCAGCTCACTGCAACCTCTGCCTCCCAGCGATTCTCCTGCCTCAGGCTCCCTAGTAGCTGGGATTACAGGCACATGCCACCACACCCGGCTAATTTTTGTATTTTTAGGTTTCACCATGTTGGCCAGGCTGGTCTCAAACTCCTGATCTCAAGTGATCCAACTGCCTCAGCCTCCCAAAGTATTTTGATTACAAGCATGAGTCACCGCACCCAGCCGATCAACTCCACTTTCTGTTTCACAACCTCAAGTATCTTAATTTACAGATACCTCAAATAGATAAATCACCTCAATTACTTAGTAAAGAATCAAAACCAAGAAAATAAGCATGAATAATATTGGTCCAACCACAGATAAATCTTAAAAGTCTGTGTCATTAAATGTGCCATCTTAATATAGTCTGATAAAGTAAAAAAGAATCAAAGAATCCAAAGACAAAAGGATAGTAGTCCCAGTTTATTTATTAATATTGTAACTGGGTAAACTATCCTCTCTGAATATCAGGCTTCTTATTTGTAAAAGGGTTAAGATGGTAATCTTTCCTGACCACATTAAAGGGCTGTTTCCTGAGAGATTGCAAGATATATAAAAGAAAAGGATATTTTCTTTTTACTGAAACAAAGGCACATAAAGTCATTTGAAAACTGTGAAGTACTTTTAGCATATTATTTTTATTCCAATCTTAGTTCATATAAATTAGAAGTGGGCTGAAAATAGAGAGCTGGAAAGTCAGGCTGGACTGCTAGAAGAAGGAACACAAGCAATACGATTTTGGAGGTGATGGCCTAACAGTGGAGAAAGAACACTGGCAGTGTGGTTGAGTATTTCATGGAATCAGCTCAAAGGGCCCTTCACACTTCCACAATTTGGAGGGTTGCAGGGAATCAGGGGTATCATCAGTCATCTGCTTATCAAATACTTACTGAGCACCTACTATGTAATATAAGGCATGATGGGTGAGGTGCTTTCTACTGGTGATTCTGAGTCAATATTATATTAAAAGAAAATAAGACTTGTTGACCAGAGACGGTGGCTCACGCTGTAATCCCTGCACTTTGGGAGGCCCAGGTGGGTGGACCACCTGAGGTTGGGAGTTCGAGACCATGAAGGAATCCCATCTCTACTAAAAATACAAAATTAGGCAGGTGTGGTGGCACATGCCTGTAATCCCAGCTACTCAGGAGGCAGAGGAAGGAGAATTGCTTGAACCCAGGAGGTGGAGGTTGCAGTGGGCTGAGGTTGCAGTGGGCTAAGATTACACCACTGCACTCCAGCCTTAGCAACAAGAGCGAAACTCCATCTCAAAAAAAAAAAAAAAAAAAGTAAGATTTGTCTAACTCATTTTTGGAGTAAGGAAGGTTTCAATATAATACAAAATAATGGCAAAATAGAAAATGCATAGCTTACTTAGATCAAAAGAGTCTATATGAGAAAATGTGGTTGGCTCTTAAATGGGAACATTTTTACAAACCTGGAAATTTACTTACATGGAACATCTTATTTGTATGACACCACATTATAAGGCATTACTGTAATAGCCACATTAATCAAATGACTAGGTAAGAGTGTAAGAAGAAATCTATAGGCTTTTTTTTTTTAAACATAAACTTGCTCAGTTAAAGCAGTGTGACCAGGCCAGGGCCTGCCATATGATACTAGTTCAAATTCATCATCTGCCCCTTTAAGGTAACATTATGTGGCACAAACTAAATAGTTTTCCACTTAACATGGTATATTAGCTTTTTTTTGGAGACGGAGTTTCGCTCTTGTTACCCAGGCTGGAGTGCAATGGCGCGA